TATTGACTTAAAGCTTGTTAAATAAGGTTTTGTAGAAAGGTTAAATTAAAAGCGCTTGCTACGGCATGTATGACAAGATATGAGGATCAAAGAATTTTCGTATTTTTTTAAATGAAGCAAACAAGGAATTTTATACATATGAACAAAGGTTACTTAGATATTTTGAATATATTAAAAAAAATAATAATATTCGAGGTTTTCGTGCCAAATCTTTCCGAATATTTTTTTTTCGGAAAATATTTTTTTTCCAATCTTTTACATATTTCCTATGAACTCGTACAAAGCTTATATAATAGATTGTATGTAGCAACCGATATTTGTAGGTAGGACTTGGTCCCCTAGAACATTTGGTTAGCTAAGCCTACGCACTTTTTATTTTATATGCCTATGCCTTTGCGTTTTTTATTAATTGGTTTTTAAATGTGTAAGTTTCAATGACCTTTACAAGTATATACAAATACGCTTACAAGGATAAATATGAGGTTCCGACTACTAGAAACCGGTTGGAGGTTTGTTTATTTGTTGAGTGAGTTTAGAAATCATAATACGGCGCAGTACGGTTATGTTAATGCAAGCCACCTTATTATCAATAATTATCGTTAATACGGTTTAAGATAGTTATGAGAATACTGTTTTATCAGTAAAAAAAAAAATTAATATGAGGAGAGCTATCCTCATATTTTTTTTATTTTTATTATTTTTTTTTTGCATCCCTCCATTTCAATATTTTAATCAATGTATATAATTTTAATTTTATAAAAAAAATAGACTTCACTTCAGAAGACATCTGTGCCTTCAGCATTATAATTCTTAAAAAAAATTCTGCAACCATTATTTTAGTCGCAGGTAGGAACGCCAAGGTTATAATTTGAATTTTTATTATTGATTCAAATCCAAACAACATACCAAAAATTTAAAAGCTCCTCGATCTTATTAAACCTTCTTTTTCGAATTGCAAAATAGCGTTGGTTAGGTTTTGTTGAGAATGGAACTATATGGCAATTTTCATTATTAATTATATTTACAACATTAAGTTATTTTACAAGGTAAATGCAACTTATATAGCCAGCCAAATATTTTTTTCAAGATTTAGATATTAACTGAAAATGCCCTCTATGACGGCCTGAGGAATAAACGCAGGATATCTCACGAAGCATTATACATATAAATATTTTAATTAAAGCTAGTTAAATCCTCTTTATAGTAGATCATAATGATCTTCTTCATAAAAATAACAATCTGTCTAATATTTTCCCAAATAAATTCACAAAGTTTGTTTTAATAGGTTTAATATACTCAAAAAGAGAGAAATAAAAAATTAGCCTTCCTTTAAATAAATTCGAGAACATGTTCATATTTTCATATAGTACTTAGGACTTAAGAAAAACAAATAGTTATCTTTCCGAATTTTGTTGAGATTTATTTGGATGCATCTATTCATCTATCATATATAATGTTGCCTAAAATCGATCTTGGTCTTGTACTTTGCAAGACCAAGGCCAAGACCACCGAATTGTTACAAGACCAAGAGCAAGACCACCCAATTGTTTAAAGACCAAGGCCAAGACCACCGAATTGTTACAAGACCAAGACCACGATTGGTAAAAAAAAATCTGTTTGTATTATAGACAGGTCTTAGATCCTAGAATGTATTTTAAAAAAATGTGGGAGGAACTATCAGCAGGTAACGAATCGTTATAGAAATTCCAAAGGTTTTTTCAATCAAATATTACCCTTGGTGGCATACAAGGTAACAGTGAAGACCCTAAGCGAAGCTCAAGCTTAGTAAGTCCACCATCATTTTTGTGCTGCTTTAATGGTCAGAGATCTAAACTATCCTGGATAAACTTACCAGTAAATTATGAGTACAGAATTGAAATTCCTCAGACTAAATTTAGGTAACCAAATGCCCCTGATAAGAATAAATCAGATTTTAGGCCCAATTCAAGATAACGCAGAGAATGGTCCATCAATTTCAACCCAACGCTGCTTCACGACATGTAAGGAATGTAGGAAACAGTTTTTGTGGAATTTACTTTTTATTCAATAAAAAATGTGATCACCGTAAGGAAGACACTAAATTGATCTCAACTCCTTTCTGATCGGTATGAATTGCAGGAGTTGAATGGCAGGCCTATCTCACCAACCAAAGATACGTATTTACACCCATGTTCCTCAGGGGTTTGATGTAAGAAAAAGCGTGATCGGATTGGAGCTGAAACCAAAAAAAGTTCTTAAGAGTAATCTCAATAGAGGAATGGCAGTTCTAATTGTTTGGACTCGTTTGCAAGAAGGACTATGAAATGAAATCAAAAGTGTTGCAAGAAATCTTCGTTGTAGGTCGCAAATACCATAAAGCCCAAAACTAAATAGCGATTTTTTTCATTATTAAAACCGATATAGAATAAATAAATTTCAATTAGCATGTCCGATCACCTCTATGTTTCAGACAAACATCCTCGACAGAATCACAAATGAAGAGTTGGAAATTTGCCATATTCGCTCATGGGACTTGTTATTCTGCAAAGAAAGTTCTCTTGTTTGAATTTAATATCCCAACATGACGTATCCTTCGAGCCCATTCCTATTCATCTGCCTAACTTCCAAAACTACGCTTTCCGACTTATTCCGACTTTATTTTCTCTACGTTCTAATTGATTTGACAGGATTCCTTGATAGTTTTATATGAGAATTAGTTAAGGATTCTAAGGTATTCCATTAAGAGAACTTTTTTTGAAGTGAAAAATTCTTTAGGCGCATTTGGCACTGTTTTGTGGAGAGTGAATTAGATTGAGCCGTCAGATTTCCGATGTGTAACGCTCGGGTGACGTCGACTGGAGTGAAATAATTGAGGTGTTTTTGCATATGGATTAAAATATCTCAAAAACTAAAAATCGGACCTGCCTTCTGTAAATGAGGAAAATGTTCAGTATTTCATCCTCTTTACAATGAAGCTATTATTTGTAATTTATACTTCGCCTCATTGATGTTTTCACTTATATCGTGTGGTCTAAAGCTCACACCTTAGCTTTTCTTCTTCTTTCTTTGTAACGGATACAAGATACTTATGTTCGTAAATAACAGATTTTTTAGGTTTTGTTTTATTTGCTTTTAATTTTCGATTTCTGTGCATTAATTACGCAGGTCAACTTTTGTAACATTGATGAGAATGCTATCTTCGTTTTTAATTTAGTAATTATTAATAGAACTTTCACAGAAATGTTCTGGCATGTCCCATATTCAACTCCCTACATTATTTAACATCATGAGATAATTAAAATTGGACAATGTAGAAATTAACAGAAGACAGTACGTAGGATCTAAATAGCCCATAAATAGGGTTTTATTTTATTTTTTTATAATTTTATTATAGAATAATAATATATTGTTGTTATCAGACAAGAACATATCTGTTTGTAAAAATCAAATTTCAATAAAAAAAAAACTCCCTCGGCCCACTTACTAAGGAGCATTACAACATGGATTTTACTTTTATTTGAATTAACATTATTATTAAGGATAGACGTTTTTAAAAAATAAATGTCATTACTATAAACTTTATTACTTTCTATTTCGGTTATTTTATAATTATTTCTCCTTATTATTTAAAATTACAATTTGTATTTACAGGGTTTATTTACAATTTATTATTTTTTTCTTTATGTTTTTGGTGATATGGCATTAAATGTTAAACATTGTTATATCTTTTCGCAGCAATATTTTTCTATTAAACAGTTTAAGTTTGCAATGTTCTGTTCGATCCGAGCAAATCTTTTCTTTTTATTAAATAATGAAAACAAAATCTTTATAATTTTTTTTTTAATATGAATTTATCATCCAATGAATTAACATATTTATCATAGGATAATAAAAGACAAAAGTAGGACAGTTCTTATGTCGTTGTTAAAAATTTGTAGTTAATAGAATAAGGAACTGAAACAATTGTATTCCATGTTTTCTAAATCCAAAACATTCCCACAAAATAATGACTATGTATGAATTTGTTTTGCATAACCCACTTGACTCCACTTTTCAAAAACTATTTTATGTTAGTTTTTTTGTACTTTTTAAGCAGTAATTTATGGTTTAATATAGACTTTTTTTTTCAAACAAAAAGCGAAGATTTAAAAGTTTATTTTTAAGTTTATTTTTTGTTTATTTATTTTTTGCTTTTATGGACTTGCATGATTTCAGAGGTAAACCACATATATACGTATGTGTGAAAGAATCTTAGATATTAATTCTCGGTTCAATTATTTGTATATGAATTGAAAAATGAATACACCCTTCATAACACGGAGCAGCGGAAAATACATTGTATATTTCAATAATGGAACATATATTATGAAAATTATATCATAAAAGATAAATACAAAATATGCTTTCAACAGCTGAAAATAATTGCATACAATTTAAAAAAAAAAACTAGAAGGATAAGAGATTCATGTCCTAATCTAAAGAAAATTATAGATTCTGTCCTGCAATATTTATAATCCATATATTTATTATTGTATGGTAGTTGCAAGTTAAAAATATTTTTTTAAATTATCTTTTTGATCAATAGGTATATCGGTTCGTAGTTCAACGCGCGTACACTATTGGACTGTTCTATAACAAATGTATACAACCCAGTATTATAAATTGATTATGTACAAAAAAATATAAAATATGTTTAAAAAAAAAAAGTTTGTTTATTTGTTTTCAAGTTCTTGTGTACTCCAGCTCGGAACAGGAAGAAGGGAGAGTTATCCGAAAGGTTACCAACCTTCTTAATTTCCGAGATTGTGGTGGTCGAGACTTATTAAAAATGTTTTCGTACAAATCAATAACAGATGTCTCGAATGAATGCTAAATACTGTTCCCATTTAGCTATGATACGTCAAAAAAACAAACAACCAACACGGATATAGGACAATAAGTAAATCGCACTATTTTTGATCGGAGGAATACTACGTAGTTACTGCATGGAGATATGATTTTAGACATCTTTATAAACTTACCTACGATTCCTTTTGCCAGAGAGCATTCGTTTGATGGACAGTAATCCTTCATCTTGAGTACAAGAGTGGTCCCGTTGTGCTTGGCTTCCATACCGTCACTGGCTACTATCGCTCGCTCCCATAGATAACACTTGGACCTTGTTTATCTCAGCCCCCTCTTAATTGATGTATTCTTCTACTGAACCTTATTGGCGAAATCTCCCAACCTGGAGTTCGGCTCTTCGAAATCATAATATATGACACATTTTCAGGCAACACGAAAAACAAAATTTTCTGATCCATTGTAACATCAAAACCGGTATGTATTTGGATGGCTCGGTGAGACGTCGCTTGCAAATGTATTTTTTTTTATCTTTTAATTTCTGTTCTGCCTGTTCACATGTATGTTAGAGACTTAAGGCTTCGTGGTTTGGCTTTTTTTATTTGTAACCTAATGACTTGAGTTCCCTTTTTGAGCTATATGTTCATTTATAGTAACCAATACCAATATTTTTTTTTAAAATAAATTAAGAAATTCTTTTGAAGTATATAAAAATAAATATCTTCCATTTCATTTCTTTGTTATTTTATTTTACATTGCTTTATTAATTTCATCAAGTTGTAACAGTACTTTCATCATTGTTTACTTCATCACTTTATTACCTTTATTTTATAACTTCCTAAGTTTGTTACGTTATTTTATAATTTCCTAACTTTGAAACAGTTATTTTATAAGTCACAGCTTTGTAACCATTACTTTATAAATTTATATAATATATTTTCCATTCCGTATATTTAATAATATTTAGTTTAACTACCCACATATTTTTTACAATACTATTTTAGCTACATATTATTATTATTATTATTACTATCTATTATTTTCTCAGTATATATTCATTATCTGGTATTTGAATGTCTGTAACTTGAAGAGTGAAACGTTGGCACAAAGAAAATAAATAAAATTTATTTTTGTGTACTTCAAATGATCCCTAACCAACTTCTCTAAGAAGAAATTCTTTATTCGAAGCACATATTTCCGAAAATCACTAATTAATTCAATAGTAACTAAGAAATTTGAACAGCCCCGCTTTTTGGAAATAATTAAACTTCAAAGCCGATTTTTTACAACTAAAAAAAAGTTGAATTAGCTTCGATTTGGATCGAAAAAATGGTCCATGATTCGGGGAGTGAGGGGGAAGGGAAGAAAGTTTTAAAACTTGTATTATTAAAAAAATAGCTTTATTATAAAATCAATTTATTTTTAATTTGCATCTGAATAAAATAAAAAGCTTATAATGAATTGTTTTTAACGAATACTTATGAAACGTAACTTTCATTACACCAGCGGATCCAGGATTTAATTTTGGGGGGGGGGACTTCAGCCCGAAAGCTTTTTTTTCATAAAAATGACGATATTTAGTTTGCAAAAAAAGAAAGAAACTAACTATCTATATGAAATGGTGTTTAAGTGATTCCTTAAGTCCTTTTAAATGTAAATACACGGACAATAATACTTTAAGAGATCATTTTTTAATATTTTTTTCCATAAAACGTGGTTTTATTTGACCATTTTGGGAGGGAGGCTTCAGCCCGAAAGCAGTCCCCCCCGTAGATCCGCCCGTGTTTCATTACATTCCTTGTAAAAACAAATTGCCAGTTTTGAAATAATTTATTTGCACACATGTTTAAATATTTAGGTTCGTTTTTTAATATGTATATATGTATATATATATATATATATATATATATATATATATGATTCCACCATGAGATTCATTCGATGTTTTTACATGAGATTCGATATTTATCTCTACTTATAAAAAATCTATTAGAATTAACTTTGGATAATTTTATATGACCAATTATATCATAACAAAAATAAAACATTTATTTTTGACAAAGATTGTTGGGTTGAATAAAAAGAAAATTGAAAGTATGAAGGATTTAGATAAAAACTATCAGGATAGCCCATTCCCCCCAAGGCCGATAGCGCATAAACCTTCCTCCACCCCTAACGACCTAACTAACAGTTTCTGAAATATTGGCATATCTTCAAAATGCGTTTGCACAAGCTTAAGCGGAAGTGCTGGTTAAAATTACATAAAATTGATATGGGACGATCTAGACAGCAACCCACACAATTCCTGAAAATTTCATGAAAATCGGATAAACGGTAGTAGGTGATATGCTCGTTTCATCGATTTAACTATAGACAGACAGACACCAAACCAAATTTGATCCTTGATGTCTGAAACATAAAACGCGAGTGAAAATTTTCGATTCCGAGCACATTTTTTTTAATCTCTCGCACGAATACAATGCTTCCCTACCTTCGGTAGTGAGGAAGCAAAAATAAAGTACATCCAAGTTTTTTTTTAGTATTTTTAGTATTGGATCTAAATTGTTGGTTGACCACTTCACTCAAAAAATCGCTACATACTTACAAACCGACAAGTCAATAAACATTACATTCCTTGTGGATTTCGTTCAACTTACAGGCGGAGCTTTGTGCGGGAGGAGCTTTCGGGCTAAAGTTTCCCCCCAAAATCTGAACCCGACTAAAACAATAACAATGTGTTCTATTTTTTAAATTATAATACACACATAACTACTAAATATGACCATGTCTAGTAAAAAAATAACAGTATACAGACCAATAAGCCTCTCTTAAGTAATATTTAAAATAACATGGCGGCATATGGAGCACTAATAGGAGGTGAAGAAGTGGTTTCAGTTAGATGTGGGCCTCTCTTATTGCAGACAAGGATTTTTCATAACAATAGAATAAACTATAAAAAACTAAACTCTCTAATAAAAACTCTCCAATACTTTCAATCACTTTAATTATTTAGCCGATAAATCAGCCATATCAGCATTACATTGCCTTGTTGTTGCCTTGTTGATGATGAGGCGGCAAAATTAAGTTGATCTCTCTGGACTAAAATTCTAGTTTCCTTTCTGATAGGATATGCTGATCATCTAACAATACCTAGTGCTGCCATAAATACTGTTACAAAAGTTGAACTTGGTTTACTTCCTTGGGTATTATTTAGATAATCCTTACCTCTATCAGATTATTTTCTTTACATGTCAGAACGGCAAATGCAGTGAGAGCAGTGGTGGAATCAGAAGAAATCCCATTCTAAAACAACAAATCGTGTCTCGAGTAGTAAAAAGTGACCTTAGGATGGGTGCTTTTCGAAGAATGACAGGACAAGGGCTAACCACTTCCCTAAAAAAAAATAGAGTGGATAGATGTAAAGTGCTCCTTGGCCATTACACCAATGGTCTTCATTGAAAGATTTTGTTTAACGAAGAGAAAATTTTTATAATTGAAGAAAAATTTAATCACCAAAATGATCGTGTGTACGCACAAAGCTCCGAAGAAGCCCTGGAAGCCATTGGAAGAGTGGAAAGAGGTCATCACCCTTCTTCAGTGATGGTTTGGTGGTGAGTTTGCTTTGATGGCACCACAAAGCTCCATTTTTGTGAAAAAGGAGTTAAAACAGCCGCTAAAACTATCGGAACGATGTTTTGGAAGCTATTGTCAAGCTTCTAAATGATACTCACTTTGCTGGAAGTCATTGCGTTTTCCAGCAGAATTCGGAGAGGCAAAGGCCAAGAGCTTACAATACCAGGTCAACCCAGCAGTGGCTGCAAAAGAACATTCCAGAGTTCATCTCTGCCTCGGATTAGCCCTGACCTCAGGAAGCCCTGATCTCAACCCACTAGATTATCAGCTTTGGTCCGAACTGGAGAGGATGGCATGCCACAGAGCACAACCTAAATTTCAAAGCCTCAAACAATCTCAGGTTCGAACAGTTGAGCGCTTTCCTCAAGAAGTGCTGCGTACTGCTATTGTTGACTGACCACGGAGATTGAATACGTGTCAAGGCAAAAGGGGGCCGTTGGTTTACTCTCTATAGATATATATTTTATTTTTTCATAAAGTTTTTGAAAAAAATGATTTTTCTGTTGAAATCTATATATATATATATTTCAACAGAATAGTATTTGGGGAATACTAACCCATGTTTCGGGGAATAATCAATAAAGAACTGCTTACAGAAACTGGTCAATCGATATTTCATGATATGAAAGCAAAAAGATTAAAAAGAGGCGTACCTCGAAGCAATCCTTAAGAAATCTCTTTACAGCAATGACTGCCTTCTTTGTTTACAAGTGACCACGAGAGAGATAAAATACCAGATGAAGTTGTTGATCGAATCAATGTGAGACAAACACAAAATGAAATATACATTGTTAATGCGACATTTGTTTAAACTTTTTACCTCAAAGATAAATTTATCTTTTGATATTCGTGAACCTTACAAATATAAAAATATCCTATAAGAGTTATATAAACGCTTTCCAACTTGATTAAGTTATTTTTAGAAAAAGTATTGTATTTTGAATAATATTATATTTTGAAATTGTCAGAGGGGGATTTTATGGCGCAAGTTGTGTTATCAAAATTTTTGATGGGGACTAGATTTTTTAGGAGGCTTTTAATGGGAGCAAATTGTGGCTGAAATTTTGAATGTTATTTGGTTCAAAAAGATAAGGAAGAAGATCGATTGGGGAAAAAGGTCGATGGATCCGTTGGATATGACCTCACTGGTGTTGTTTCTCAATTTATATTAAATATTTATATTCAGTTTACTTTCTAAGTATGCCATATGTATTTCTGTCATAAAGTTTGGTCGATAAATATTCCCTTATATTTATTTTATTTTTCAAGAGTTAAAATATTTTAAAAACGAAGCCAAATTGGATTGTCGAATCAGTTCACATCAGAAATGTGTAAAAATAAAAACAAGGAGTTTCATAACACTAACGAATACCCCAACATCTGGATTTTTAGAATTCCACTAGTTTCTCTCAAAGCAAACTTTAAAGCAATGGCAGAGGCGTTTGAGAACTTACAAGCTGCAGCTGCCAAAATGGGTTCTCAAGATAACCAATCAAAAACAAAATATATGGTAAAGAATTCACAAAGGATGCTTCCTTTCCATGTACAACTGAGTGGATGTGCATTTGAGATAGTAGAGGAATTCATATACCTTGGCTACTTAATAATTCAGGATAACAAAATCTAAAAACGAAATAACGGGAAAGGAAATCCATAACCAAATTGTTGCAACTAATAAATGTTATTTTGGGCTAATGCGACTGATGAAAAGTAAAATATTGTTTCACACAACCAAATTGCGTTTGTACAACTCTGATTAGGTCAGTGCCTGCCTAAGGATCAGAGTGTTGGACTCTATCCAAGGCCCAGGAATCTCAACTCCTTCGATTCGAAAGAAAGGTACTAAGAAGAATTTTCGGAGCGACTTTTGATGTCAACGAGCTAGCCTGGCGGATTAGGATAAGGCCGAGACCTCTGAACTTTATCAGGGTCGACTCAGTTGGAATGAATGAATGCCGACTCGGTACTAAAGAGGTTCCTCAATGAAGAAGTTCACACCACCAGAAAGTGTGGACGGCCCAGCCTACGCTGGATGGATGTGATGACCACGCATAGATGCACTTATCATTCTGGAGGGCGGCTGCAAGGAATCGAGATGAATGGCGGACCTTACTTCAGGCGGCCGTGATCCCTCACGGGTTGTAGAGCCATGGATGAAGAACAGATTAGTTTCTCTCGTGCATTCCCAGAATATAACGTTTTATTTTAATTACATCCTCTTTTAAATTACTCTATACTCCTACACATTTAAATTACATAGACGATATTGAAGATTAATTCGTTGGGGTGTTCATTCAACAAATTTTTGTTTTTGTTTTAAACTTTTATTATGATATTTACAACTGTATTAGGATGAATACATCAAGTAAATGATTCAAAAAGTAAAACTAAATAAATTATGTATATTTTTATTTTTACCGACGTTTCGATCCAATGTTCAGGCCTTCATCAGGGGTAAAAAAAAGACAAGATAACATAGATATGAGGAACTAGAAGACGGTGAAATGTACTCATGTCTATATTATCTTGTCTTTTCTTAGCTCTGATGAAGGCCTGAACATTAAGCGGAAATAGCGGCAAAAATAAATATAATTTCTTCATTTGAAAGTGAACTTTGTTACTTTTTGACAGAACTCCCCAACCAACTTTTCTTCAATATATCGGTGGCAGTCAATTATTAATTCACTATATAAACTATATATTTAACAGTTATTATCAGCCTAAATTTACATAAATAAGTAATAAATATAAATTAAGTAAATTAAACAAACATATACTTAAGTGTCCTATTGTTTTGCTTTTTTACAAAATACCTCTTTCATGCGAACCTCTTTGGAATGATTCATGTTTGCTTCATATGATGAAGGGAAAATTTAATCACTGTTTTTGACTCTTTGATTGTGATTTCCAAAAAAAAAATAGTTTATGCGCCCAAATAAAACTGGTTCTTTATCATCAACCTGCAGAATGGATTCAGAAAAGTTTGATGAAAACAGAGAATATCAGAGAGTTCTTGATCCTGAAGTTAGATTAAAGCTTATCACTAAAAATAGTAATACTGTTGAAATTGATGCTAGTATTCCACCAAGAAGGTTGTTAAATTACATTAATGTGATAATTTGTTATTTGGGATGTATAGGATTTTCGCATCAATGAATCATGTATTTTACAGGTATTACAAATCCGGATTAGAAATGGTTCGAATGGCCAATGTTTATCTTGATGAAGGAAGTTTAGAAAATGCTTTTATTTTGTACATGAAATTCATGACGTAAGTTTACTATATTATACTGTCCATTATTAATTGTTGTGCTATCATCAATTAAAAATTAATATATTTAAGCTTTAAAAAATCAAATAACATGAAAATAACAAAAGTTTTAGAAGTTGCTGCATCATTAATTAAAAGAAAAGATAATAGTTCTGTTGCGCTACTCCAAAATATCAGCCAGTTTTATAATAATCCAGAATCCGTATTCCTGAGGAATACCAGAAGTACCCAAGTATTGGTCTGTTTGCATCCAATGAAAAAGCTGCCGTGACTTATATGCATTGTTTAATTGAGATTAGGTTATGTTCATTCCTTTTTAAAGAGAGAAAATGATAAGTGTTTATCTGTCGTTCAAACCCAACTTCCTTATTCGAAGTGAATGAGTTCATTTTATATCATCCAAAATATTTTTCTAAGGAAGATTAAGTCAACATTTGGCTGTAAATTGATTATGTCATTGTATACGATATAATAGTCTTTCTTCATGAGTTAAGTACAAAAGCTTGTTTGCATCCAACAGAAAGCTAAAACATCTAAATAAAATTAAGTTGTAATCCCAAATTCTCCCCACTGGTAGATGCAGAGACATGCAGAATGAAAATATATAGACTAATATGCATAATAAAATTACAGGATACAGAGAAAATTTTGACTACTTCGAATATTCATGGCATTGTAATTATTATACGTAGTTAATAATCCAATTATTAGATCTTAAAAAGTGATAATCAGGTTGACATCATTAAAATTATATTTATATTAATATGTTATTAATAACCATTTCTGATGATTTGAAATACGTTTAGAAAAATATTTTAATATTTAAATTCTTCATTATACTTGATTTATTTGTAGATTTGTTTCCTAGGAACAAAAGAAAGAATAATTATCAGGTGGAAATCCTACAAATTATATTTATTTCAATATTTTAACTATACGATGATGACGATAAGGTCACTAAGAAGACTAAAATGGCTGTCTATAAATCAACATTTCTCCCTATCCTTTTGTACTCTTCTGAATTATGCATCCTTGCCTGGAAACACATAAGTTGAATCCTATCCATGGAGATGCATTACCTTCATATAATTGAAGAAAATGTTAGACAAGATAGAATCTGGAACACCACTATAGGGATTAGCCTCTAGGCTAAACGGGCCTCTGTAAGCTATGATGGTTTAGACCTCTCCTTATGATGGATCAAGAAAGAACTGCCAGAAAGACATACAAGACCCGTTTGGAGGAAAGGATGCCTTGAGAAAGATCACGCATTTCCTGAGAGGCATTGAGCTAGTGTCATATGAATTGCAGCAAGAAAAGAGAGTTTGTTAGAGTGTGAGACATCTGGTCCATATTCTACAAACAGCAATCACACTGCATAGCCGTACTTAAAGATAAAGATTATGATAATGATTTTAACTATTATTATTGAATATTATAGTTATTAAAAACTATTTTTAATGGTCATAAATTTGAAATTCATAAATATGCACAATTTATTTTCCAAGAAGCAGTGAATTTCCATTTTGATAATTTTGTTCACGATCTTATTGATATATAAAAAGAAGTGAATTTGATGGTGATGGGACCTAATGTAAAGTAAATATTATTTATAGTTGAGTATACATTTCTCTTCTAAAACAGTGGTTAATTTATTATTACCAATGGTTAGGGATCAGTCGACTCTCTCTACTTTCACCCAAATTAAGAAATCTTGGATTATTATGGTCTGGATGATCTTAAAACCGGCCTCCATATTGGAATAACAAAATAGAATTAGTATAAACGTCTCTAGCCTTCACTGAAAATTAGCTCTTGAGCTAGCAGTTGTCGACAAGTATGACCTTTCTGAAGCTATAATGTTCTCAAAACTTATCAAAAATAGTGTATTTACTTATTCTATATTATATTAAAACTATGCCAGGATTAAAAATGACAATATTTGCACTCCCTAGAGATGAACTAAAACTCTCAATAGGGTGTGTTGGTTACATAACAATTTTATTTTAAATAAATTAATCCTCAACTATCAACAGCAAGAATTCAGTATATTTTGAAAAAGTCCTCTGCAATTTTGATAACATCAAAAGAAGATATTTAATTCTTGGTTGAGCTTAGTACAATTCCTTACATGTTTAGGTATAACTCATAAGATTAAAAATTAAATTTCTGTATAAAATTGAAGGACATATAAAAAAAGCTAAACTTTGAACCTAAAAATAGTGATATTTGAGTTATTAATAATCGTACTAATAAAAAGTAACAAAAAAAAAAAGTTAAATGAAATTGACAAAATTAAGAAGCTGCTACAGCGCCTATCCATTTTCAGCAAACCTTAGGCACACAAAAAATTAAGTACTTCATTTCATAGGTTAGGAGTACCTGACCAGTTCAATTATTAACCCGTTCCACTGTAACCCATGAAGGGTCCTCGGATTCAACACTTAGTATATGTGCTGTTTTTTTTTTTTTTTACCAATGGTTTTAGAAGTAGGTGATTTAGTCAGCTAGGATCAATTTCAACCACCAGGTTTTTCCCCATATCCACATTTCTGTACTAATGTGGATATTTCATACTATTTAAATCTTGTCCTCAACCTCTAGTACAAATGAATGATCTCTCAGTATGAGCGAAATAAAGCAATTGTCTGATTTAGTTATGGCTCTCTTTTCTTCCAGAAACACTGGCCTAATCTGTTGAATCCACCTCAAGATAAATGAGTATCTTGTGTTCTATTGATTCTCAAGGGACTATTTCAATGAAGATACTACAAAACCTATTGTGTACTGTCCAGATTATTAAAAATACACATATTCTTCATAATCAGTCTCTAAAATCCAAAATATTAAGCATCATTAACTCTTGATTGGGATACCCTCCAGTGGCACACCTAACCTCTACTTATGATTGGACATAATGGTAGCAGTGAAGTGCGAATGTTGACCCCGTCACCTGGGTGAAGAGGTTTTTCAAGAAACAGTAGTTTGTAAGACTCTATCTAAGATAAGTTTGAGGATGGATAGAGGGGAGTAGAGATGCACAGTGGCAAAACATTTTCCCACTTATACCACACTCTTTTGTCTTCTCTACTCATTCATACGTACTTCTAAATTTTTGTTTACAAGCAGAAATTTCTTTTAACATTTTTTTTTCTATTTCTTTTATTATTTCCTACATTGATTCACAGAAAGATTGACTGTTTACATACTGTGATTCATTTGATTCGAGCTAATACAGTACAGTCTAAAATAAAATTATACATAATGTGGACAATGCTCTTTGTTAACATTTTTTAGATAGATAGTAAATAACTTTATTCTGGGACAAAGTCCCTTGAGAATAACAAATTAGAAAAAATTAAAACATTACATCTGGCCTAAATAAAATCAATAGAAAAAAAGAAATAATGTAAAGTGAACATTCAGAAGTAAATGAAAAAGTCTCCTCCCCATGATTGAAAATCCCATAACGTAGTATCGGATTCTTTTCTCTTATTTATTTTCCATCTATTTCTTGATTTTTTTACGATCTATCTCTTGGTAAATTCAGATCTACAGATTCTAGTAATAACATCGAGTTATGTGAACAGTAGACGTCACGAATTCATATATATATTTTTCTCAATTTGATTATTTAACCATCCTATAATAAACATTTGTGCGAAATTAGAAAAAAATTTAATAACGCTTTCCCGGTATAAGGTAGTTGCTATGGTGATAGATAAATACATACTGTGATTCATTTGATTCAAGCTAATACAGTACAGTCTAAAATAAAATTATACATAATGTGGACAATGCTCTTTGTTAACATTTTTTAGATAGATAGTAAATAACTTTATTCTGGGACAAAGTCCCTTGAGAATAACAAATTAGAAAAAATTAAAACATTACATCTGGCCTAAATAAAATCAATAGAAAAAAAGAAATAATGTAAAGTGAACATTCAGAAGTAAATGAAAAAGTCTCCTCCCCATTATTGAAAATCCCATAACGTAGTATCGGATTCTTTTCTGTTCTTTATTTTCCATCTATTTCTTGATTTTTTTACAATCTATCTCTTGGTAAATTCAGATCTACAGATTCTAGTAATAACATCGAGTTATGTGAACAGTAGACGTCACGAATTCATATATATATTTTTCTCAATTTGATTATTTAACCATCCTATAATAAACATTTGTGCGAAATTAGAAAAAAATTTAATAACGCTTTCCCGGTATAAGGTAGTTGCTATGGTGATAGATAATGTGGAACAGGAGAGAGGTCTTGGGGGGATGGAACTTGAGTGGGAGAAAGCTGCGCGAGCTTCCTTCCTCTACACTCAAACTTAACTTAGATGCAGTATACCAATTACTGAACTTAGCCCCCATCTGGGTTATGGTGGTATAGAGTGATAATTAAATACCAACAGAGTAATATTACCTGCTTAACGCTATCAATATTCAAGAAGAAAACTGCTTGTCAACTAGTCTTCTTATATGCATATAACATGACTTTATGTGATTGGTTTGTTTGCTTTGTTTTTTTATGCTTAATGAATGATTTTATTCAAAATAAAATAAATATTGAGAGTTTTGTTTATCTCTCAAGCTTGTAAAAATGGTCTTTACTCATGGTAATGTTTAAAAAAATGTTTACAGGCTGTTTATTGAGAAAATTAGGACGCACCCTGAGTTTGATAAAGTTCCCTCAGTAATTAAGAGTACGAACTATCAGAAGTTGAAAGAAGTTCTGCCTAAAGCTGAGAACTTAAAGGCTAGGCTTCTAGAACAATACAAGCGGGAGTATGAACGATTTCTAAAGGATATGGTTTGTTTTTATTATTTATTGCTGTTCAACAACTTTTCAATTTACTTATTTTATTCCTTTAGTCTGTTATCTCCTAGAATCTGTTTTATAGCGCAGGAGAGAAGTTTTGGCAAATGAAAGGAAACAGTTATTGAAAGAAGAAAAAGAAAAGGCTGAATCAATAAAAGGCTCTACTCCCAACTTATCAGAACCAAAAATTCCTAAGACCTCAAAGTATAACATAACTCCTGTTCCTCCATTACTTGATGCTTTGTATCCAAATGATGCTGTTACCACTCTTTCTGAAAAACCTGAACATGCTCGTACACAGTGAGTAAAATTCTAAGCTAAGTAAACAAATAAATTATTATAACTTGTTGGTAGTTATGATATATATACCCAATTAGTTATGATATATGATACATTACAACTATTAATGTTCATCGAAAGATTATGACTTTAATAATAGAAATGATAAATCTTTGCAGTGCTAAAATGTTGTAAAAAGGAAAAAAAAGTATATTGAAAGAATAGCAAAGCAGGAAATAAAAAAAGTACTTGTCACACATTCTTTCTTATGTACAATATTTACATTCAGCCTAGGGAACTCTGAACCATGCCTTGCCGCTCTCACATGAAAGGCAAGGCAGGGCTCAAAGAGATCCCAGTGCTTCTCTCCCAGCCGCATCACTGTTTAAAACCAGTGGAGAATGAGTAATAGCGGTAAAGCCACATAACATGAACTTAATTTAATAATAATAATAATAATAATAAGGCTTAGCGAACCTGAAGGTTCGATGCCGACACCACCAATCGCTTGTTACACACCTCCCTCCACCGTTCGCCGTCCAAACCCAGTCCCTTCAGATCGGCTTTAATGCAATCCTCCCATCTTCGCTTCGGTCTACCCCTCGGACGCTTACCATTCGGCACAGCAAATATTAACCTTTTAGGAATTCTCTCGTTACTAAGCCCAACAACTTTACAAGCCCATTTGATTCGCCGCGATGAAATTACCTCAATTATATTACCCGGATACATCTCACGCAATTCGGCGTTGTGTAACCGTCTGAACTCTCCGGTTAACTCATCCTTTTTCGGTCCGAATATTCTATATCCGAATATCCTCGCGCGGGCTCATTACCGCGTATGGGGAGCGTCCCACGGGTGGCGGATGTGGGGATGGTCGGTGGAAATTTCTTGGAAGTTCCTCCCGGCTAAGTCCGATGGACTCGCTGACCAACAATGAGAGGGGCCCTCCAGACTTGCTGGAGGGAGGGGACCTCCAGACTTGCTGGAGGTAGGGGCCCACCAGACTTGCTGGAGGGTGTGACGTAGGATTGAACGCCCTACTCACATATCTTTAGTTCACCAAACACCACAAAAAGTCATGGATCTCCCTAAGGTAAAACGCTCATTATCCGGAAGTAAACTAGTCCCCCGTTCGGGTCTCCGGGTGGTGACTGCTTTAGGGGATTCATGGCACAAGTTGAACTTAATTTAACCTTAAATAATTTTAAACTTAACGTACATTTTACGTCCTTTTAATTTAATTCTATTTCTATTATCCACACCCAGCAGATATAATTATATATATATATATATATAATCTTAATTATGGAGTTGATAGCCAGCAGGTTTTACCTACAATAATAACCAACCAATTATTGTGTGTTTTAGGCCAAGTGTTGATCGTTGTACTAAGCCATCCTCTCTTCTCAGCCCTAATTCTTATGCTCAAAGCAAACTTCGTTCAGTCATCATTCCCGGTAACCTCATGAGAGAATTCTTACTGAAAGCGCAAAAGAACACTGACAGAAATATTGAGACATGTGCTATATTAGCTGGAAACTTGGTAATTTTTTTTTCACATGGATTAAAATCTTTTCATGCACTAATTACATATTAGTTTAATGTTGTGTTTTTTTACTTAATTTTTTAGTTCCTTGATTCTCTATCTGAAAAATCAATTAGTCCATGCCAAACATTTATTTCCGAAAATGGTGTAATTGGAAATTTCAGTAACTTTAAACTTTAATCTTTTCATGATTTGAACTGAAATATGGTCTTCATTTAAGTTATTTGTTGCTTACTGATTAACCGATTTAAATTACAAAAAATATTTTAAACTTGGAACTTAAATTTTCAGTTAAGGAGCGATTGTCAATAATGATTCTAATTACGAGTAACTGCATTAAAAATTGACTGTTTTTTTTTATAACAGTTAGTCTTTGTCTATGGATAATTATCGTTGATAATTATCAACATTTATAGCTCCAAATGTGATAATTAAAACATAAGAACTTATATTTACATCATATAGTCATTGTATAAAAAGCACATTGATATTTAAAAGATAGTCCATTAAACTTTTTAGCATTTAATATTTGTATTTCAGAGAAAAAATCAGTTAGTGGTGACACATCTTCTAATTCCAGAACAGACTGGTACTTGTGACTCGTGCACTACTCAGAGGGAGGAAGAGTTGTTTGATTATCAAGATCAAAATGACTTGATCACTTTTGGTTGGATACATGTGAGTTTTTTTGTTTTTTTAATGAAATAGGCTTGTATTTGAGGTTATTTAATCCAACAAGCTATTGTATTGTCTATTTTTATTTGCAATGATTATTTATATATGGGTTTGTAATTGTTAATGAGAACAATCTCAAAAACAAATATATAAATAAACCCTGTTTCTACATGATAATCCCATTAAATTCTATCCCACCATCAAAAACCTTGGAATAATCTTTGATCAAACCCTTTCCTGCAAAAAACCATATATCCAATATCTCCCGACATATCTTTTCTACCCTAAAACACTTGAATAGCCTGTGAAACCTTTTTCCTTTTGAAATCCGTAGACTCCTGGTCACCTCCTTAATATTTCCCCACTTTGACTATTGTTGCACGGTATATGGGGGCGTCTCTGGGGATCTCGAGGCTAAACTAAAAGGTTTGATAAATTGCTTTGTACGATTCATCTTCGGGATCCCAAGAGACTTTCCTGTTTCTATGAAGAGTTGAAATGGCTTTATCCTTCCTACCACTGTATGTATTTCCTGGCATCCTTCCTCTTCCAAGTAATTCACTCCCGCCGTACTTCATACATCTCCGTGCTCCTTCAATTTAAATCCTCCGTCCACTCTTGCAATACCCATTCCCGGTCTTCAGATTTATATATAATGGCCCACCGAACCGCTGTCGATAAATCTTTTATTATTCGATCCTCAACCAAATAGAACTCCATCCCTCCCCACATCCGTCAATCCAAATCTCTTCCTAGCTTTAAATCCCAACTGTTCAATCATTTTTTATCCAGCCCTCATAAAATTGTAAATAGCTGCTACTTTAAATATGGATATAAATTATTAGATCGTTTTTCATTATTTTTACTTCATGTTTATTTTCAATTTTTTATTATTAAAAAAAAAAAAAAAAAAAAAAACCTGTACCACTACAACCCATAAAGGGTCTGGGGTTCAGTACTATTTAGGGAAAGCACTGTTTCTAGGTCAACGGTTGTGCAAGGAGGTGATTTGACCGAGATCACACTCATCCGCCAGGTTTTCCCCCTTAATCAATTATTTAATTAAGGATACCCACTTTATAGAGACTGGGTGTGCCCCAGGAGGGTCTCCTGACCCAAAGTCGCCCCATGGCCAATGAAACAGATAAATAAATTTCCTGCCATGAGCCGGGGTTCGAACCTAGGACCTTTGCATTGGAAGCTCAGTGCCCTACCACTGATCTACTCCACTCCCCATTTTTTATTATTAACTGATTTAAATTAGAAAGTAACTTATAATTTCTTTTATTATTTTTTTTTATTTTGACTATTTAATCAAACTATATTCTTGTTTATGTATCTCTGAGGCTCCTTAGCCCACATCTTTGTCTCTCTGTATTATTCTAAAGGGACTCGTCCCAGAATGAATAAAGCATTAATTATTATATATATATATATATATATATATATATATATATATATATATATATATATATATATATATATATATATAGTATTATTATTAGAGTTGATTAGTTGATTATTATGATTTTTTAAGGATTAATTATTGTTTGTGGTACAGCCCAAATTTGGCAGCTGATATTTTGGGCCATCATTAGGGCTAGAGGAGTTTGCTCCAGTTGATCTTTCCTTGAACTAGTTGAGTAAAGTAGCTAATAATAATATATATATATCTATAGGACTAATTAAGTATTGTGAAGATCCTCGGTGTTCATGCCTGAGATGGTGAAAGGTTGAGAAATTATTGGGCTAGACATCTGTGATGTAGATCTTCTTCAACTCCTCGTCAGATGGGAGTGACAGAATCCTTGTGTAGCCTGGAGGACAACTGAATGGGGAGGTGGTCAATGTGACTGAACACTTATCTCATTCGCAGATAATTATCAGGATGCCATTCGATAATTATCTTATCCGAAATTTAAAAAACTTGACAGTGGCACCTTTACATGGTTACCTATCAAGTCAATTATTTATTAAATATTATAATGCTTAATTAATTGACTTCACTTACTGATATAAATCTCATATATTCTGTTCATATGGCTCTCAAAAATGTCTCCTTTTCTCCTGATTATTAGCTCCTCACTATTCTATCTTCCAGTATTATAAGTTTCTGAGTCAAATTACTTATTAAAAAGTTCTGGTTTTAGTTATGGAAGCAATGAAGATATTTTGGTCACTCATGTGTAACTCCTCAATATAAATGAATGAATCTTATTACAGATCTATTTTTATAACAAAAATCCTCATTTGTTCTGAAAGTTAAACCCATATCTTGACTCTTGGTAATCAAGAACATTAAAATATTGAACATTTTGATATTTATATATTGAACACAAAAATCAACTGAAATGAGATATAAATTTGTTAATTAAAACTTTAGTGACTGCTCAAACGACAAGTGTATGAAGACCGTGTCGACCTTTAGCGTCAGCTCACATAATATGTGTGTTCTTCAAAAATATTGCTGGCCCATGGCGACATTTGATTGCATAGAGGTGCAGCCATTAAACTGTTAATGACTTAAAAGCTTAAGAAAAATTTTATGTTTTGCTAGTTTGCTTTTGCTTCTTTTAATTCTGAACTTTTTTATTTTTTCTTCAGACTCACCCAACTCAAACAGCATTCCTCTCCAGTGTTGATCTTCATACGCATTGCTCTTATCAGAGAATGATGCCAGAAGCTATTGCTATCGTATGTGCTCCTAGATATTCAGAGTAAGTATGATGTTCTTTAATTTCTTCATAATTTTATCAGTCAAATTTGTAATTGTTATTTTGCCTGTATATTCTTCTTATTAGGGGAGGTTACGGACGTGGGATCACTAATTCAATGGACTTTTCTTTTTGTTATACTAGGTTGAAAAATATTAGACCCATGTCCGTGGATTCTTGCTAATGCTCCCTAGGAGCAGAGAAAAAAAAATTATTATTTTTTTATATTACTATTTTCTGTGTTTGCTCTACATGGATTTCTATGTTATTATATATCAATAAATTTAGTTGTTTGTAAAAAAAAAAAAGAGAAAATCTTGTTGCTAATTGTATTAAACAAATTTTAATGTATAATGAATTACAAAAACGCAAAGATGCCTTCCAGTAAAGTAAGCCAATTAAATTTTTGAGATGAAAAAGCGATTCAGATTCATTTTTAGAGTCCACTAAAACTGTTAAATGCGTGTTTGTTTTGAAATAAAAATACATAAATTTTTTAACCTAATTTTATGGGAGGATTTTTTTCATGCAATTTATAGTCTGTGGGCCAGACCCCCTACCGTGCACCTCCCCTCCTCCCTCCCTCTCCCCCCTGCATTTCTATGAATTACATATCGTTGTGTTCCTTGCAACTATATATTAAAAAAAAATAATTAGCTTAGGCAAGAAAAACACCAGTAAAGACAATTTTTTAACAAACAAATTTTCGAATTGAAAATTAAACATCATTTGTAGTTAAACGGCCAACAATAACACAAAACGTGCTGAAATAAAACATCTGGAGAATAGATTTCTCTTTCTAAAACACTGATTACTTTTAGAAAAAATACTAAAACAGCAATTTGATTATTTATCTTTTGCTATTTGAAATTCTAAATATGTATTTTATTTCCGACAATTAATTAAAGTACTTAACATAAACATATTATTATTATAATGGCACTACGGTCCTGCAAGAACCCGAATTTCCTCCACTATAGCCAACCAATCCTCACAGTCTCACAGTAGTGCTACTTCCCTCCAACTTCGAACGACACCCTTTACTTCTTCATCCGGCTTCACATGCAGCATCCTCTTTGCCATTCTTTGGTCAGGCATTCTTTTCACATGACCTAATCATTTTTATCAATTCCACAATATCAGGTTCACCATAAAGTTCTCACCGCTCCTCATTCTTTCTTCTTCTTCAAATTCCATTCTCAGAAATTCTGCCCCATATTCTTCTCAATACGATTTTCTCCCAGGAGTTGCATTCTGAGTTAAGGTCCATGTCTCACACCCATACATAACCACTGGCCTTACTATGATTTGGAGATGAGGATTTCGATTCTTTTAGAGAGTGATCTGAATTTCAAGTCTCTTTGCAGTGAGAAATAGCATCTATTTTCTGCTGCTGTCCTGTCCTTTGTTTCGCTCTCTATTTTATTATTGTATTTTACCAGACTTCCAAGGTACTTGAACTGGTCAACAGACCTAAATTTGTGATCCCTTAAAGCTATTTCCGTATTCACTTGAGCAGGTCCACTTCCTTTTCCAATTTTGAACTTTTCATGTACACTGTCTTATTTACATTAACTCTAAGGCTCAGTTTAGCAGCCGCTTCTTCCAATTCCTGCTGCTTCGATTCTAGAGATATTGGCAACATCATCGGCATATGCCAGGTATATGGCATATGACAGACGATTGTAGATTGTTCCTCCTGGATTTGTTCGAATAGAACGAGTAGCCACTTTCAGGGCTAGATTACAAAGAAGGGGAGATAGAGGGTCACCCTGTTTCAATCCAGTATCCACCTGAAATTCTTTGGACAGCAAATTCGTGAATTTCACTCGACATATTGTCTTCATTAGCGTCATTTTTGTAAGTCTCATCAGTTTCTTGGGTATGCCTACATCTATCATAGACTTCAAAACTCCCTTTCTATCTACACTGTCATACTTAAAGTCCACAAAGAGAAGGTGCATGTCTATGTTAAATTCATAACATTTTTCCATTATCTGTCTCAGAGAGATTATCTGGTCAACTGTTGATCTCCCAGGCCTAAAGCCTCCTTGATATTCTCCTATGACTTTTTCAGTGAAATCTTTCAGTCTTTTAAGTAGGAGTGCCATATAGGTTGTATTTAATAGAGCAATGCCTCTAATTTTCACATACTAGCTTGTCTCCTTGCTTGTGTATTGGACATATTGCTGCTCTTGTCCAAGCCATTTTTATGTATACATAACAATGAAAAAAACTGAAACCATGACACACATAGAGACTTATTTACGTGTCTTATACTTATACTTATACTATATTTACTGGACTTATTATAATCCTGCAAGTACATTCTATGTACTCACATAAAATGTGAGTTAGAATTACCTCGCTTAGTTAGCTTTAATAACCATTTAATCAATTAATCCAATTGAAAAGAAGTCATTAAGTACCAGATAGTGAATTTTTGGTGATGTACTTTAACCTTATTTAGAGAACAAGAATTTCATTAGGTAACTTGATAACTTTTTGCTCTGTAAAATCAGAAAGAATGTCGTGCACTAAGTGAAACTATTTTTTATATATAAAAGGATTTCTATTATTTTTATGCGTTTAATGAGTTATTATATAGATAAATATGATCGAAATATACAACTATGTATCTTCAGGTTTAAATAAACCAAAAGTGTACTTAGTGATATTTTGAAATAAACTGACAATATACTTGTTATCAATGATTTCTATGAAGTCGAAGAAAGAGTGGAAAGGAGATATCCGCAGAGCTCTGTTCTCGGACCTGCCCTTTGGAAATTAGTATTCGATGAGTTGATAAGGGTACTCGAAGAGGACCGTTGCCTACGATGGCCTATGCTGACAACCTGTCTGTATTGGTGGCATCCAGCAGCAGAGCCGGCTTAAAAGTAGAAGCAGAAAGGTACTTCAATCTTGTCGGAGGATGATGTGAGAGGAAAAGGCTGAAAATGGCAGGTGCCAAAACCCAAGCTATTCTCCTAAAGGGTATGACTACTAGAGCTCACCCTATTGTTTTGAATATACAAAGGATAAGGATAGGATAGAGTGAAGTAGTAACCAATCTTGGAGTGAGATTCGATTAAAGATCCAATTTTTCTCCTCACTCGGATTACCTGAGAAGTAGGGTGACCCTAGCCCTCAATAGAATTAGTCGTATTGATGGCACCTTCTGGGGCCTCAGGTATTCAGCAACGATAACAATCTATAATGGAGTAGTACTGGGTATCTTGAAGTATGCCTCCCCAGCATGGAATCATAACATCTCGCAACTACAGAAGAGGAGATTGGCGACAATCCAGAGAACGGCTCTGCTGCGAATAACAAAATCCTGTAGGACTGTTGTTCATGAAGTGGTACAGGTTTTAGCAGGAGGTGTACATCACGACCTTCTCCTGCAAGAAGACAAGCTTAAGTATATTCTTTAGAAAGGAGGCTCAGCAAGTCTTCCGAAAAATATCCCAGAAAGGATTGCAGCAGATCCATTTAAATGGCAAAGAATAATACGGGAGGACACCATTGAACAGTGGAATCGACGTTGAGTTACTACTCATAAAGGCTCTACCTTGAGGAAATACTTAACCTAGCGTCTATTGAAAGTTGGAAGCGAAATGGGTCCTCCCTGATTATTGGGTGTCACAATTGCTGACAGGGCATGGGGGTTTTCACAACAAATTTCATGACTTTGGGAAATAAATTAATCCCCTTTGTCTGTGTTGTGAAGTTCCGGAAACTGCTGAGTATATCGTCACGACTTGCACAATTGCTTTTGAAACAATAAGGGCCTAACTACTGAGGGAAACCGGATTGTACATCATCACTGAGAACGATTGCCCTCAGCTGTTAAGTAAGGATAACAACCCATAAAGCGAAGCATTCGTGTACGGGTGGAAGAAATCATCACTTCAACCTCCACTAACAAAGACCAAAGAACCAGAAGACAATCGGTAGAAGTATCACGCTACTTCTACTAAAAATCTGTATTGCCGAGAGGCAAGGAAAAAATAAAATAAAATAAATAAATGTTATCACTGGTTTTTGGTCAAAAGGACTTAAGTCATTATATATATATATATATATATATATATATATATACATAAGTTTTTAAATCTCCTTAACCAAAAATGTTTGATTACGGCTAAGGTTTCAAGTGAATCTCTTCTGAATATATGATATTAAAACATTATTTATATTATAAATCAAATTCATCATTAATATATTACAGTTTAATACAATACCGTAAATCAAAATATTAAAAAAATCAATAATTAGACACTTCTAGATCAATCATTTCTTATTAATTTTACATAAATAGTTTAGAACATTTTCAACTTTTTTGTGATTTAGTAGTAACTATTTAATGCTTTGCTAAAATCGTAGCTGTTTTAATTAACCAAAGTTTAACTTTTTTGTTTATATATTAATGAAAAATATTGTCCCCTGCTCTAATTTCTGTTTCTTATTTTATATTATTACAGCAACAGTTTCTTTTGCTTAACTCCTGATTATGGCTTGGATTTCATCGCAAACTGCCAGCAGCAAGGCTTTCATCCGCATCCAACAGAGCCAGAACTTTACACGGTAATATTTTTATTATTGCTAAATCTAATTTAACCGTTAAAACTATTATATTTTAACTTATGATAAATACTTATAAATACTTGCTATAAGATGATAAACTGGAAAATCTCTTATATTCATTTGCCAAATATTCTGCACTCTATGGCAGAAAATAGTGCAAAGACAAAAAACAGGGCAGACATAACCTGCAGCCTCGGTGACCTCCAAACATTTTTGTATAATCTAGCACTACAATTAATTTTTAGTTAATTATTTAGGTTGCGAAAATTTGAAAATCAGTGGAATTAAGTTGAATATATGTATTTATGTGTATTTACTTATCAATCAAAATAGCAACAGTAAAATATAAGCCTCCATTATCACTACCTAACCTTATTGCAACCTCTAATGATAAAAAGGTTCCTCACCTATGGTATAGTATGTCAATCTACCATCAAGCTCATAAAACCGAACCCTTTATTAAAGCGTTGCTTCATTAGTTTCACTAGTTATCTATTTGAAACAACAACAAAAATCTCATTATAGTTTCAAAGCATTATTAATATAAATGTCATAAAAAGCTGGTTATATTTTAGTAACATATTTTCAGTTTGTGGTTTTATTGGTTTGAATATATATAATTTTTTTCATGGTAGCTTTATGTAGTAAAAATGAATTCAGAGGATAATGTAATTGTTCCTTAAAAGCTCATGCTAATAGTGATGAGGATCACATCTGAGTCAAAGTGCATTATACATGTTGATCAAGACTTGGCAGACCCCCTTTGACACAAATCATCTATATATATATAAAAATGAATGTATGTCTGTCTGTCCGTCTGTTTGTCCTTAGTGCATTACTAAACCACTCAACCGATCGCCATGAAACTTTGGGAAGTTGTTCCGTACACTCCTGGGAAGGTTTCTGGCTTACTTCTGTCTTACGATAATTTTAAATATGTAAAAAAAATAAAAATGTAAATGTTTTTCTGTTCAAAGCCGCAAAAAATGTGTCACTATAAACTGTAGCGCCAAAACGGTTTTACAGATTTTAACGAAACTTGGCTAAAGTCTTCCCCTTGAAACTCTTTTAATTTATGTGTATAACATACTTTCCTGAAAACAAGCTGAAAAATGTTATGATGAATTCAATATTTTATTTGACGATAACTAAAAAAGTACACAATTTTTAACTGATAATACCCACATTTATTTGAAAAATTTCTGAATCGCTGACAAAATAAAAAAAAAAATCGAAATCGGACGGTTCGTCCCAGAGTTATTGAGTTTTAAACATTTATTGCTTTCTCTTCAGAAAAGGCTGTTTCCTTTTGCTTCCTCACTACCGAACGTCGGCAAGCATTTCTTTTTTTATTGATTAATCGAAAATTTTATAATTACTACAGTAATTGAAATTATCATTTGAAGAAGTTATATGATTCTCCTTATGTAGGTCAATACTATTATACGTTTTTTTAAATTAATTTTTTAATTTAGTTTTATAAGTTCAACTCAGACTGTTTCTGATGATTATGAATGACGGCGTATTCACTCAGATGATTATGAATGTTCAATTTGAATCATGAAAAAAAAAATCATTAAAATTAGTTTAAATTGAAGCCATTTTACAGACAAATTTGTTTCCCAACTTTTTGACAGATGTCCTTTGCTACTAATCTGCTCATATGTGCTTTCTATCTTCTTTCTTTTTCATTTTGCCAGGCTAAGCCACAGCATCACATGGCCGGGCAAAGGTAGTTTGATATAAGGCAGGGTGATGCGCTTACCTGTTTACTCTTTAATTTTTCAGGAGAAAAAGCTGTGCGTGAGTCAGCTACCCAACTCATGGCCAATCTATTTAATAGCAGATCCCAGTTACTAGAGTACCCTGATAACTGTACTCCTGTGTTGCCAAGTCGGAACTTGCATTAAATGAGTCATTGTGGCTTCGTAGGATGTTACCTGAAAAGATCGGTCTTGTCAATTTGAACTAGATAAAGTACGTGAAACCTAGAGGATATGGGGCAGAAATGTAAAAAGAATAGTATGCATGGGGATCGTTTTATTTGAGCTTTGACTTTATCCGATTGATGTTCCGTTTCTATGAGAACTTCTTTAGGGGTGGAAAACAGTTCTGAATTGGCCATTTTGATTCCAAAACTACTTAAATGTCCTCAGTAAAATTATTGATCATCACTGTACAGACGAATCAGAAACCATAAATGTATGTGCTCATGAGAAAAATTGAAATTCATAAGCTAAGGTCGCTCATCCAATTACCGCAAACGCTCCAACACCTGTTACAAGGCATGCCGGTAGAATTCCTTGTGGGCTCGATCTATTACAAAGAGAATATAGCTCAAGAGAGGGAAATCCCCTATCTGACCCTCAATGTGCCATTTGTGGGCTAGTCAATTATCAGGTCTTGTAAGTGCTTCTGTTATATTTACTAGACTTTATTAACTCCAAAATATGACTTTTCATGTTATCTAATCTGTAATAAATATAAAATAAATTCCTTTGTTTTTACTTTCAGGTTGCCAAACACTGCGAAATTGATCCAACAACCTCAGTCAAAGTCGTTGACCTAAGAAGATGAGTCGCAAGTAATAGATATTTTTGTATAATGAGGTTTTGTACCAAGCCCTATGAGCCTTTATGATGTAATGTATGACTCATTAACACCAAATTTCCAATTAAAATTGTTTGTTTAGTCGGTAATATCTTTTTAGATAAAAGTCTATCAAACTAGTCTAGTTTTATGGATAGTTTTGCTTCTCTGTCTGTTGATATTATTTTATATATTGCACAATTATGCATGAAGTTTTATTTTATTTGGTTTGGTGACACTTTAAAAAATAACCTATAAAATATTTATTTTCTAAGTAATATCTTTGCTGAACTGGTGAGGTGTTCCTAGTAAAAGATCAAAGATAATGAACTTTGATTTCAGAGTTCTTCATAAGAAATTAACTGTAAATATTTTTATATAAGTTTATATAATGAAATTATTCATAATTGTACAGTGTTATTTTTATAAATTTTTTCCAATCTGAATTTGAACTTTTTTTTGTAGTTATTTCTTGTTATCAGTTATTAGATAATATACTACTACAAATAGATTATGAAGTAATTTATGTTTTTATTTTGCTTTATATTTTAAGGCTGAGAGCACCATTTCCAATTTAAGTGGAACTTTATTTTTTTTTTTGTGAATCCATTCGGTGATAAAATGAATGTTATGGAATTGTTAATAATAAAGTATTATGATTAAAATTACTGATTGATCTATGATAAGATTTCCACTATTTTCATTTAGTAATTTTCTTAGTGATATTGAAATCGTGTGTGGAAACTAAACTAAACTAAAGACTGTAGAAGATTTATAGTCAATTTAAAGTCAGTAGAGTAAGAAAAATAATTATATAGTTTTAAATTTGTTTATTTTAAGGTTCTATACCTGTTATCATAATTATTATTTTATAATTTACCCTGGATTGGATTGAATCAATATTAAATAGAAAAGTTTTTGTGGAATAAATGATTTTAGGAAAATTCCAATAATTTTTCTCTTAAAAGGGATCACATGCTTACCATGTGGTCACAAGCACTAGTGTATGGATGGGACATTTGGATTGGCTGGTGGAAGCATACCTGAGTTAGTGGCTGATCCCCTCTAGTGTCATTTTGAGCACAAACAAATCGAAGATCAGGGTAAGTGCTAGTGATGCATCCACAAATTTGGGGGAGGGGAAAGAATCAGTAATGCTTAAGTTTGATAACTGTCTGAAGACTAACAAAAATTCTGCTCTGCCATTTTGTATTTTTTAAAACATTTTTTGAATTATAAAAGTATGATTGATCTAATACTTACTGAACTAATCCTAATCCTACAGTTCGGAATGAGTCAGGGCCTTTTACAGGTTAAATCCACATTCATTTCTATTTTTTCTGACTGCTCTCTGGTCTCTGAGATCATCTTGGCCTCCTTGATATTTCTTTTCTTGCTTTGATATATTTTCCAAAGTTATTAAAAACTTTTGAGGAATCTCTTCTGACTTTATTGTGGTCAGGTGTACAGCCAAGACAAATGTTCTAACTTAAATCGATTTATATTCATATCACCGCCATAAGGTAGCATTATATCCTTATTGCTTTGCTGACTCCAAGATTTATCAATGCATCTTTGATCCAAGAATTCTTCTCTCGAATCTCATTAGCATCTGTTCCAGGCACTTAATGAGAGTCCAGCGGACAGACACATATGCTAATACTGGTCTGGTGATCTTGAATTTCATGCTCACACTTCCATATACATAGCATGTGCTACAAGCTTCATTTTATTTGTATTAAAAAACTAACCATGTCTCAAAATTATTCAGGCACGCACACACTAAGCTAAATATCCTACTTACACGCTTGTGCTTACCATTGTTTGACAAACTTGTATACCGGATTTTCTGGACCATTGTAAAACATATGAATCAGCAAGATATCAGTCACCTTATATAATGAGTATAACTGGAAAAATACTAAATAATAAAGTTTTTGTACTAAAAAATTAAATTATAACCTAGCCTCATTAAGTAAGTTTTTAATTTTTTCTTCTTTATTGAAAAATAAATAAATAGTTTTGTGTGCTAAAAACAACATTAATTTCTATAGAAATCTTAAGCTTTAGCTTTTAAGTGAATCATCTAACCACCTTCAGTCTCAAATCTAGTTTCTGAAAATAGAGAGGCAATTTCGATTTCATTCTCTTGAATAGGAGCAATGCTTGTTGAGCTGTATTGAAATTTTTTGGAATATAATTTGTTTTATATATTAGCCTGAGTTATAAAGATTTTTTTTTTTTTATATATATAGAATCTCTCAAGTGTGTTGGATGAAAACCTTCGGGAATGAAAACTTGAAATGAAAAAATATGTAAAATAAGTCTATTTCAAAGATAAAAGTCGTGCTAAATTAATGAATTAAAATGTATTTTTCAGTTAGGTATACACTTTGTGTGACATTTTATTGACATAAAATAAAAAAATATAAGTATAAATTGCCAAAGTTCTTTTGCTTTTAAAAATGCAGAGATTTTTTTTCAAATGACAATATTGGGATACAAATTATCAGGACTTCATGATATTGTCACTCTTTTAAGGTGTGGTGATTGGTTATGAACACAAAGAATGGTTTTGGTTAATATAATTTTAAAGATCTTTTATTTTGGGCCATTGTAAGAAATTTTCTTACAAATACTTTATATTTTCTTTTACTATACAAGACCGTATCAGGAAGGAGATTATATTCTATTTCATATTCTTATATTTCATATTGAGAATTTATTTTATTTTTTAAATATTATTTAAGATTTACCCGTTTAGTCAATTGCTTTATTGTTTTTACAGTTTAAATACCAAGTCGTTCTTAGATTGTTACTAAAAACAAAATTATTAATATTTGTGATGTAATTTTCTAGTTATTCAAGGGTAAGCATATTTGGTTTGCGCAAAGCGCTTGAAGGGAGTACAATTGTCACCTGCATGGTCAATAACTTCTACTTAGAATTACCACTTTTTCTTGGTTAAACCGTTTAGAAATCTGAAGTCACTTTAAAAAAAATATTGCCTCAAAACTGGTTATTTGTTAATATAAAGATATTGTCTATTTAGATATATAACATTTAATAAAGAACAGTTGACTCTTTCCATTTCAGATTTGCAAAATATTTTTTAGAAGTATTGATATAAAATTATAATTATATTATACCATCTGTTTTTTAATATTTAACTAGAATAATAAAAATCAATATTCAATCACAAATTATTTCAGAAAATAACAAGAAATATCTCTCTGTATATTTAAGATGTGCCTTAATTCATGTAAGAGTATTGTTATTTCAATTTTTTTTTTTAAGACAAAGTCATTGATATGAATATAAAATAATAACAAAGATTTGTTTTTATTATATCAGAAGATGATTTTTTAATAAAATTGTTTATAGTTACCATATATTAGGATGCATTAATACCTAGCAACCTATAAGGAAATAAAAACTATTAGTGGATTCCTATAACAATAATGTCATTTTGCCCAATGGAATTTATGCTTAGCATTAGAAATATTTAGAAATATAACTTTAATAACTAATTAAAACATGTATTTCATTCTGAACTAAATTCGAAGTATACATTCAGTGAATTTGAAATCTGCCCATACCTCTATTCATCAAACTCAATTTGTATTTTTTATTTTCTGATGGAAGTTGTTCTTTTTTTTTATCCTTAATAAAGTTTCATTAGGCATTTATTTCTATGAAGCCTTGTTCTGTTTAAAAGCCTATAACATTGTTAGCTTTATTTTAATTTTTAAAAATCATTGTTTATATTTGCAATTAAATGTTCTTTTATGTTACTTTTCTAAAATTATTCTAAGGTATGTTTTTATTTATAATTTCTGTATCAATTCAACTAATTTGCTTAACTTGATTAAGGAGCTTAAGTTCATTAATTTTCATTGTTTTGTTTTAATAACATTTTTCCTCCCTACTATTTATTAATAGAAAATAGAGTAATAGCATTTGAAGATTTTATCTATTCCTTGTGTTTAATTTTTAATCACATTCAATTAATCTTTTTATTAAACATGAAATACTTATACTTTTATAAATTATCTATTATATATTTAAAATATATAGAGGAGGAAAAAATTGTTATTAATAGTAAGTAATATTTTTTTTTATTTGGATCAAGCTAAATAGTCTATTATTATAATATAAATAATCAAAAGTTATAAAATCAAATATTTTATTAGAAACATTATGATTTTTCTTGACAAGTATTCTCTGCTGGAAAATTTGTAGTTTCAAACATATTAATTCTTATACTTAAAGGTTAAAAAAAGTTATTCCTACTGAATCAGTAAAGTTAAAGTTAAATTTGATGAGGATGTATTTAGTGATTGGTATAAAATGAAATGAAATATTTTGTGATAGCAGTATTCATACTGCTGTAATAATTATTTACTAAAAAAATTATTTAATGTATTTTTTAAAATTTAATTTAATAAAGTGAAGAAACAATTAATTTCCCTTTGGTCAAATTTAAAGATGATTAAATTTGTGTTCATGGCCCCTTTTTGATGAGTTTAATTGTTATCAATCCTATTAAGAACTTATATAATCAATTTTTAATAAATAAAACTTAATTATTCAAAAATAACAATTTGTGTGTACAAATCATCAACAATTAATTTTTAACTGTACCGTAACTAACCAATTATATTCTTGGATGATTATAATCAATTTATTTATAGATTGTGTGAGTATAATTGATTTTTTTAATCTCAAAAGAAAAACACACTTGACCCACTACAAACCGAAATCAAGCATATTAAATATTTCTTTAATCTTAGCTTTTATTTGTTTTATATTTTAATAAATTAAATTTAAACTTAGATTGTTGTTACAATAGCCTTGGGGCACTGCTTGTTTTCATTAAGTTTTAATATAAAAATATTGTACATGTAGTGTAGAAGAAAAAGAATGTTAATGCCAAAATTATTGTGAATATTAATATATTAACTTATTGTTAAATATTTGTAGCCATTTATTTGAGTTAATGGAATTGAGGAAGATGTGTATTACCATTGTTTCATCTTGAAGTTTCTACTTCCATTTCAGATAAAGCATAGTGCAAGTTTCTATACTCAGTGCTAAGCTCATCAATGGCATAATTTTGCCCTGTTTAGAGAGAGACCTAATATTAACAACGGGATCAGGGCTGAGTTTATAAACTTAGCCCTTCAGTAACCACAACTGTTTATGACCTTTAGAGTCAATTCAATTAATGCATTGCTAAGTATTTCTTTAGGGCTCAAAAGTTTAAGCTATTGCTTTTGTTGAGCAAAATTGATTAAGTCCGATTTAATTTTTTAAGGGACCCCTTGCTAAGGAATCAAATGAAGTTTTATTAGACATATTGTTTGAAATTGAAACATTAATTTTTATCACTGTGCATACTTA